CAACTGAGATGATTCGGTACAGGATTCTAGATAATTAAAAAGACTGGAGAATTAAAAGAAAAAAACAGTTTGTTTGTTGTACAATAATACATGCAAAACAAAATCCCAAAGAAGAACAAACAACAACTCAATAGTGTTTATTATATACAACTCTCAAACTCCAGCTAATTCCCTCGTGAGACAAAAAAGGCAAAATGCAAACCAGTTCTGTTTCTGATTTTAAAACTACATCTCCATGACACAACAAAGTATCCACTATAATCCAACCACAGGCAGGTAAAGAACATTACCAAAAACCCCGAATCCACGAAAACTCAATCGTCTTTGAATTCTTTAGTCGGGCGTGCTTCGAATCCTCCATCTTCTCTTTTCTCAAGCGAATAAGGCATGTAAGTTCCAAGAATCCGATCCCACATGACAAAGAAAGGCTGAGAGAAATTGTATTTGGTTCCATAGAGCTGATGATGCACATCGTGGTAAGCCGTGTTGTTCTTGAAGACCATATGGAATGGATTTCCGGGAAGCCAGAGACCGCAATGGTCGTCCACGGTTTTGATTGTGGCGAATGAGAAGAAGAAGATGGAAGTTCTTGGAGACATACCAGAGATTAAGAAAGACAAGGCACCTCCGATGGTATCCAAGAGGAGTCCTTCCACTGGATGGTTGTATAAAGCTCCATACGCATAAGGGACGATAAGGCGGTGGTGTTGAGAATGGATATGTTTGTATAAGAACTTGTTGACATGCATAAATCGATGCATGAAGTATTGCCATGTGTCAAGGATTATCATGGCCGTCACAAACTGTCTGGCCAGAACCAAAATTGAAAACTCTTGCGCTTTGTCTGCTTCAGCATCACTTCCTGTGACCTGTATAGACAATGGAAAAGCATATTTGCAAAAAAGGTCTAAAGCAAAAACCAGTACAAACAGAAAAGAAGTTATATTTATCAAAGACATGTCTAGTAACTCTGCGGTCTAAGACATTACAAGCACTAAGTATAACACAAAGGTAAACCAAGAATCGATGATGCTACGACACGGGTTATAGCAGCTTTCCTGCTATCACCACATAAAAACTCGTTGAAATTTCTATTCAACGAAAAACCTTGTTTAAGCAGAAATATCGTAAGAGCAAAGGTTTTCTCATCACAACACAAGCTGATAAGAACTAGAAACAATATCTTCCTTTATCTTCTCTCTGAATCCGAATACAAATGAAGAAAAAAAGACAAACCGAAGCAAAGATAGAGTCCATCCTAGGGAGAATTCTAGAGCAAAGCTCTCCCAAGACCCCAAACTAATTGCCAAATCACTTCCTATGTTTAGTCATGCTTTCCTATAAAGCTCTAACTATCTTCCTAACACTGAAATCCCCAGTCTGATTTAAGGGCCATTAAAGATTGAGAAGTATTCAACTGTAACAGATTATGAACTATTCACCAAAACTTCTAGCTTCTTAGCTTTAGTTAAATTCATATCCACTCACCAAAACTTAATTTGGTCAAGAAAAATGCCATCTTTGACAAATTTTGCAGCCAATATCAGATTTCTCTTTTTGGGTAGAAAAGATTCCACCTTTTTACAAAACAAAAATCTTCATAATCCATAAACCCACCCATAAACGTCAGCATCAAATACCACTAATTTCCATCCTAAATCCGTTTGTTACCAACTTTCTTTTTCTCATTAAACTTTAAAAAGTCGAAAATTTTGGAAACTTTACCGTAAACAAGATGATTGCAACAACTGCTTGAACGAGCTGTTGAAGAAGAACACCTTTCACGACAGACAATTTGGAGACGAGATTCTTCTCTTCTTCTTCAACCTTAGGATGCAATCTGTAACTCTCGAGAGACGAAAGCAACACATAAACCCCAGAATACAACCAATAAACAAGAATCGGAGCAACAGTACCCAACAATTCGTCAGAAACAGCGAAACCCATCATCATCTCTGCTTCAGATCCTTCATCAACCGAACCAAATTTCTGGGTTTTCTCAGTGATAACCAAAACCAAAGATTCGAATCAACCCAGAAACTCCCAAAAGGTTGATTTGTCTTCAATCAGGGGAAAATCGATTTTTTCAATTTTTTTGTTTTTCTTTAAAAATCCATGATTTGATTTAGGGTTTGTTGTTGAGTTTGACAAATCAACGAAGGGAGACAAAAAAAACAGTCGCGTTGGTCGGAGAGAGACGTGGTTGAACTGTATTCATTAGAAAGAAAAATAAATATCCAAATGATCTAGATCTTGCGCAGACGTGGCCGAATCTGATGAGATTAGAAAGCTTAAGAAGTTAAGATGAGATCAAAAACGTTTAATTTGTTTACTAAAATGTCTCGTTATCATGCACCGTACCGTATTTGATTAGTTACTGTTTCGTTTTCCCTGCGTGCGAAAAACGGCGCCGTATATGTTCGAATTTTTCAAAAATTTTGAACGAGGAATGTAGAAAATTGAACATTTTTTTTTCATATCATTAACAACATCTCCAATCGTTTATACTATTTTTTACACGGGTAACACCAAATTGGTGTTGACTCTTGCTCCAATGATTTACACCAAAATAAAATATTCTTAATAGATTCTTTTTTTCAATTCTTTGAAATTTACAAATCAACCTCCACTTATTTTTTAAGTTTAAAAAATTATGAAATAATTAAATTTAACATTTATTATATAAAAGAAATACATTGTAACATATAAAATAACAAAATATATGAAGATTTTGTTTAATTATTATCAAACATATTAGATTTTGGGTTTAACCATCACAATTTGTATATGTTTTTCATTAATTTTAAAGTTGATTAAAATTTGAAAGACCTTT